TGGATTTGCAAGACGTCTGCTGAAGACGCAGATGCCGCTGCCGACCCTAAAGGCATAGCTTGACATGCCCCGGCCCTACCATCCGGAAGTACAGAAGGACCTACGAAAGCTGTTGCGAACAAGGTCCTCGCATACGAAAGTATGTTCATTTGGGCATTGCGCGTGCTTAGCAGGATGAGTTTAGCCGCTGGCAAGCAACCGAAATTCCTGAAATGTGCTTTCATTTGCAGATTGATGGAATGAAGTTGCTTAAAGTATCTGGCCAATCCTTGCCCGAATCAGTCATCCGGTTTTTGGTAAACCGTTTGTAGTTGGGTTATTCCCCGGCTTTGGCAAACCCGAGCCAGTGGACGAGTCTCTTGAAGAATTAATCGATGAATTAAATGGGCTTTTGGATAGAGGCCTGCGGGTCCCACGTACAGGGGATGTTGTGAAAGTTGAATTAGCAAATGTTATCTGCGACGTCTCAACCCGTTCCTATATCTGACAGGTCAAATCTCAAAACCGGCACTACGTATTCGATAGGTATGTTATTTTGTAGATTTAACCTAAACTACTGCAGGCGCTGTCACGTTGGACTTCCCATTGCAAACCGCATGGCATTTCCTCCATATGATGGGCCTCCTCGGGACGAAATGTCATTTCGGTTACGAAGGCAGGCCCTGCATCATAGAGGCATATAACAATTCAAGGATTTATCCGTCGACATGGTAACCTGTTTACCTTTAGACTCCATGCACCTAGTCTGTCTGGGTGTGATGCACAAATTCCTGCACATGTGACGCCTCGGAGTTAGGAAGTTTTCTCCGGCATTGAATGCTCTCGTAAGGAAGTGCAGCGACTGTTTGTCTGCGGAGTTCGCACGCAAGTGCCGAACACTGAACTGCCTTGAGTTATGGAAGGCGGCTGAATTCCGGCAATTCCTTCTTTACCTTTGCCCTGCATTCTTAGGATCTTTTTTTGACCATGACCGTTACCAACACTTCCTAAAGTTGTCTGTTGCTGTGTACATATTTTGCCAACCCCGTTCACACAAAACTTGCATTGACCTAGCAGGCATTCTTTTAAATAGTTGTGTTGCAGACTTTGGCATGCTGTATCATCCCGCTGATGTTTTATACATTGTCCCCTGCCTAGTCCACCTACACGAAGATGTTACGCAGTTTATATTGCTGGAGAACTTTTCGGTCTTTGGTTTTGAGTCTTCTCAACAAAACTTTCGCAGTTACATAAAGGACCAGCGAACGTAGCCGCACAGGAGTACAGGCACATTAATAAAAAGCGTCTGCCTAAGTTGTACATAGATCCCATGCTGCTGGACAACGACGAGGGAGTGCCACGGTCTTTGTATTTGCCCCGCAGCTCCAAAGCAATTTTCCATAATGGGTCTGTCTTGCCGACTCAATCACCCAACAATGTGGTACTTGTTGGCGGTTGACTGTGCGTACTGATGTCTGTGTCGGCTACCGGCATAGCGTGCCGTCCCTTTGTGGATTGCCAAGACTGTTTCGGATCCGCCTACTCTACTTTCAATTTACTTATTTTTAAAGCATGCGTTTTAGCTAGCAAATCTTCAACTGCTGCCCTCGATGGAATTATTTGTAAATACGTCCTCTTTAAACTTCATGGTCATTTCTTCCTAATTCTCTCGTTACAGACATTTCAAGAGCTACAAGGTTCAGTATTCCCCCATTTTCCGTTTTTATTATTTGCACAGCTACCATGTACGGCCAAATTTCTGACCACCCCACACTTCTTAAATGTTGTGCTATGGGTGCGTAAAGATGTACGTGGTAGTTGAATTCGTTACTAATAAAAACGTGGTGGCGGTGGCGAAGGCTAGGTTCTGTAGTGATAACTGTGTTATGTGGCCTAAAAACTACAAGCAACATGACCAACTGCTGGAGAATGACTTGAGGCCTCCAACAGTCACCACGGTCTATTTCGCGCGAGTGCTGGAGGACAAGCTGCCTTTGGACAGAGCGTGTGGCTTCTTAGGTAGGCTAAATTTACCGACAGTCTATCCACCTCGGAGCCAACTGAATTAGACCGAGACATGAGGAAAAAGCAAATTTTTACTTATCATTGACATATCTTTGTGGGTATGTCCGCCAGCTCACCTCTGACTCGGATGACGATGACGATGTAATCACACAGCGACCTACACAGGAAAGGAGAATTAACTGACTGGCCGACGCCGCCACACATACTCCAGTAAGAATCCTCTTTAAAAAGTAAGCTTTAGATCCCGGAACTACAATGAAAACACACCAACGTCACCAATGGAATAGCAGTAAACACGCTTCTTTAACGTATATTTAAGGCTGCCTCGTGAATCACGCACAGCTGCCACCGACAAACGTTTGACACAGGTACAGAAGGACGTGGAATGTCTCCGGTAGGATTTCTCTCACTCTTGACGTAGTACAAATAGAAAAAAGTTGACTACGGGGCGGAAGAAGTTTCCGAATTTTAGACGGACTTGACGCAGTTAGAAACGGCTGTTGCTGAAGTTTTGAAGGTCTTCAAGACTCACGTCGGTCGACTGAAGAAATGCTGCCATTATCCAATTTTCGGCTGGGTACTAGCAGAGCCTATGATGCCTTTGTTAGTCGGCTTAACACTGATGCAGGCCTCACTCAGGAGGCGGTATGTAAATATTTACACTTATATACCTTTTGAATGGATCACAGATAAAACGTCTGACCATCATTGGTGGCCGTAGAGAGAAAGAGTTTGTCAAGCTAAGTGAAAACTCCCTACGGTCTAGCCGCGGACTTTCACTCTTGACTTTGTTAAGATGACTACGTAATTGGTTTGTACGAGCAAACTGAAAAATCTCTCAGCTCTTAGTGAGCAACCTTGGTCACAGACAATCCGGAGTGCCCAGAGTAGACAGCGATTTAGCTGTCTAAAGGAGAGGGGGAATAAACCAAGCACAGTCAGCCTCTCCTGGTAAGACACGTGCTTTAGGCCGTCGACCATCCTTTCTGCTCTGTATTGCATCTGTTCGAGTAAGTCAATATCCTTCTCCATCCATGGTGAATCTGCTTACATTCCATACTCCAGCTGGGGTCTTACAAAGATGCCAAAAGTCTTTCGAAGAGTTCCGGAGGGACTGCCTTACTTGGTCACCCCTATGCCCCAGCTTCTGCTAGGAGGGGGGATCAAAAACAAAGCGGATCCTTGTCGGCAGCCCCCTTTATGACCTTCTCATTGGTGCGTTATATATTTAAGTTTTCTTGTTCAGCTGCCATTCGTGAATATGTCACAATCTCTGATTGCCCCACGAATCCAGTTCGCAAAAGTACAATTAACTGGTCCCACGCAGCGCGAGACAGATATGTTTACAGAGCCAAACGTTGTGACACTAATACGAAGATAAAATGATTGTCTTCAATAGTTCTAACCTACCCTGAGCTTCCCTTCTGCCCCATCACGGCCGCACCTTACCTCGCATAGTCTCCGTCCGAAGGCACTGTAATTACGCCTTTCTTTTTATCTTTAAGACCTGTTTATATTTACACTATTCCACTTACTACTGCCTTTCACGGTAAAATATATTGCTAAAACGCCATACTTCAGTATTATGATTTTTTACCATTTAGGGTTTTCAAAGGCATTGCCTATTACTCTTAAAATATACTGACCTAACTGCCGCCATATCTTTGAAGATATCTTACCAACTGCTTTCTTTTCTTCCAGGAACCCGCTACTGATAACGACAGTCATGTTCAAAATGTACCATGACAATGCATGACTTAGTGCACATATAATTTGTTACCTTTTTGCTTAATAAATTCTCTACAACCATTAACTGGCGTCCAAATGTTCTGCCAGTATGGTTAGTTCAGGGCTTCGCAGCAATGCATGAAGGTCTGGTATGGCAAGGATTGCGGGAAAAACCGGTATCGCATAAGGTGAGGGGCAAAAACGACGAAAGTAAGGCGTTTCCCTGCGCTTTTTATGGAGAGGGGGCAACACCGGTGGTTTTCCCCGCCACAGCCCCTTGATACCTCTTCTGCAGCCCCGCCGTCGTTCCCTCGAAAATCGAGACTGAGAGGCGGCAATGCGGGGCTGGTGCTGACAGGGACGCCTGTGGGGATTGCAGCTCTAATGACAACTGTGGGTAAGGGCCGGGGAGTGTGCTAACGATAAGGAACACGAGTTACGAGTGGACGGCGAGAGCGGGGGAAGCAATATCAGCGGTAAAAAAGGAAGGAACACCGGTCATATTAACTGCTGGACGATCACACCAGACCCATCCGGGATCCGTGACAAAGTGACTTCAGCTCTTTAAAATAACCCTGTCGAACGTGTGGTGCGTTGAAGCAATACTGCACCCTCCGGCATGACCACTTTTTCCGACTCGCCCCTACATCTCTTCACACTACGCGCCCCACCCCGCAGAAGATTGGATGTAAGAAAGTATTTTTTGTCCATCCGTGTCGTGGAATAACCTGCCGAGACAGGTTATAGTATGTATAGTATCTCAGTCTGTGGCGACATTTAAATCTCGGCTTGACGGACATATACTGCAGCAACAAGCGGGCAATGTGACTGTGTAACCATAAAACCAATGACCTATTGGAATCCATGTCCGCATTCATTTGCTGCTGTAATTTCTTCATGCTGTTGTCACTTCCTACGACTTTTATGCGACGATTAGGAGTTCAAGGTCGTAGGTCTATTCTCCTCAAATAAACTGAACTGAATACTCAGGTCGAATACGCTAGCGCGCGGCAAGCCCGCTTACTATTAGGGATTGATATACCGAACTCTCACTCAGCAGGAGTGAACATATTAATGTCACCAAGTAGCCGCTGTTCTCACGAAAATTAAAGAAATCGGAACATCGATACGCATTGTTCGTCGGAAGCAATAACTATTAACGTGAGCCTGCGGAATTCCGTTGCGAATTTTTATCGAGCCACAGTAAATCGCGCTGGAGTCAAAATTCGGTTTTGACGCGAGGATAGGCATCGAGCGTGTCTCCCAGCATGTCGAGGAGAGCGTGGAAGCTGCGTAAGTAGTATACGTTCATTCGGCGCCGCTTCTTTCTTTTGGCCTTCGCCCATTTTTCTCCTTCTAGCAGTCTTATGCAACCGTCAGGCGGAAAGTGCCCAACTTGCCTGTCTGCCATGCCTTAATAACGGGCCCATCATATATGATGGGCCCGTTATTAAGGCATATAAGTGAGCTATAGCTCACTTGTGGTTTATATCGGCAAACTGGATATCCCATTCCAAATTTTGTCGAAACTGTATGCTATTAAGCGGTTAGTGTTAGGTTCCAGAAAATCTGGTCCGTTTCCCCAACAAATCCAAGCGCCGGAGAAGTGAATCTCAAATAAGTTAACTGAGCGGCTGTTTCTAACCAGTAGTGCAGAGAATTCACAAGTCGTCTCATAAAGTAAAATTCCACTCACTTCAATTTTGGCCAGCATCAAGCTTAAGCAACAGCTGATGGGCTCCGAAACTTGGCGAACTGTGATCAAGTAGAACTAATCGGTCGAACTATTGGTACTAAGTGCAGAAGTATGCGAATAAAGCCTGCGAAAGTCCAGTCATCACCCACAAAGTAGTGCTGTGCGCCGTTCTTCCAAACTACAGGCGCACACTTCTGGTGCGTTGAGAGCCAAATGATTCTGTTGTGTCATCCTCAACCGCAGCTGTCTATGCGGCCCCTTGGACATAACCGATATGTTTGTTGTCACGAAGAACCGACGAAGTATTGTTCGCGCACATTTATTGACGTACTATTACATGCTTAACGGAGGAAGTGCATGAATACCTGTCGTTCCTTTCGACGGCCCTGCACCGGCTGACGACTTGCGGGACAACAACTGCGGAAACTGATTATCGAAGTCACTCTGTGGTTTGATCCTAGCTTCCGACTTATTAAAGAATCAGACTAGACTGCAAAATTATTGACTTTATTTTTTAGGCCGGAACTGCGTGTATATAAGCTCGTAGTGCCGTCGCAAACGTTACTAATTTGTTTGCCGCAGTTTGTACAGTCGACCAACTGTCCTGGACAAATGGGTCTTGTTGGTCTATCTGCAGGTTTCCCGGCGCGCCTATAGGTGACGGGTAGTGGGGCGACCTCCAGCGAAAGCCGGCTTCGAGGTAAGCAGACAAGCTAGTAGTTGGATACTATGCATTTTGCAGTCAGCCGGTCACAAGCATGCAAGTAAGTGAGGACAAACAAGGTCGGCTAGAAAATTTGGAACGAATAACCCCGATGTAGGTTTTTGCTTGTCTTGCGATTGACGTATCGGAGTAAATTAGCACAGCATCATCATCCTTGGCTACCAAATAGGCGGTCAAATGTGGCTACAAATTTGTTGAAGGCAGTATGGATAAACGCATAGTTGTTGTTTGATCCGTATTGACACTCTGTATGTAGGGGTAGTCATTGCTGCCGTCGCTGACAGATGTTTCAGCACTATTAGCTGCTAGTGTCGCTCCACTTCTAATTGTTGACGAGCAGGAGTTGGTTAGGGGAAAAAACGGGACGAGATCTTCGAGCAAAGGTGTGGACGTCTTTTGATGGCAGACCTCAGTACACCTTTCGCCTCCAAGACAAGCAGTCGACCGAATGCAGCTTATTTTACGTCGTTAGCGAACCGTATGTGAGCATATTGGGATTTACACTGGAGCATGCCAACTTCCTGAACAGGCGGATGTTATTTGGATTTTCGAAAGTTCTTCAGCAGAACTCGACCAGAAGGGTAAAAACGTAAGAAAAGCGGACTCCAGTAGTCAACTTTCTATTGTAGACGAAAATAATTTCGTGCAGTGTCACATTAGGGATGGTTCACAAATGAGATGTAATTATGTTAAAAACGTCAAGTAGATTGGACTCGTGGTGCGTGATAGACTAAGTGTGGGGTTTTTGAGCTAGCAAAATAGTCTTCCACAAAGTGTGCTTCACGCGTTCAGCCTACTCGTTGTTTCGGTGTTGTCCTGCTGGTTGCTACTTTTTTTTATCGTGGAAGAATTGCTGAGCGTTGGTTCACATAACTGACTACTCGATCCGTGTGGATGTTGGGGACCGACAAGTTTGAATGGAAGTCGAGTCGTTCCAGCCTGAGAACTCGATCCACCAGCACGTAAGGGAGTACGAAAAAGCTTTGATAAAAAAGTTGTGTGTACGCTGTAGCAGGACTCCGTTATCCATAAGATTAGCGAACTGGACCTAAAGTGCAAAAAGGAGAGCAATTAATGAAATGGAATGGATAAGAATAGTTAATTAGTATCCCACACCTCTAATACTTTCCGGAGTAGTTGGACACCCATTTGTCACATCCGTTTCCTGCGGAATTCTTACATGCCAAACGGTATTATGATGTGATAGATGTTGCCTATCATCCGATAAGGCTTCCCTCGCCGCTTTACGGACTTAGGTCTTGTCCCTAGACCGATGGCGACCTCAGACCCAATCCACACCTCATCTCTCAGAAGCCTTGGCCTTTTCAGCTAGCTAAACCGGCGTTAGTCCCAGTAGGAACAGAAATAGCAATATCCTAGTCAGTTCAGAGTTCCATCACTAAGATGCGTGACATGATGGTTGATGCAGCAACCGGTTTTGCCTTTGGGTTGGGCCATGTTCCCCTCGACAAATATCCCAAAGCTCGCCTCATGACCGTGCCAGAGGCTTGCTGGTGTAGAATTACGACAATCTGGCATAACGGTAATCTAGTCTTGTTTTGCAGGCTAAAGTAAAGACGAAGGCAGCATTAAATATTCATAACTGAAGCCTCGGTCAGCGGCGCAACTGAGTTCTCTGACTAACCAAGGAACGCCGCAATAATAGGGCCAGCTATGATATCTAAAATTGTCTTACCAGACAAGTCTAGCTTGATTTTTCAGCGATGGCTTTCCCTGCACCCGTAAAACAACTACAAATTGTTAATAGTACGAATTGTGGCTGGCACTCGAACTCTGCCAGATTATCCGCTTAGTCAGTGGTAGGCAGTCTACACAACCCATTACTCGTGCCGTAGACGATTACTGTTGTTTACAACTCAGGCAAGATCGAGGGTTGGCGCCAGTGTTTCTAACTCCAAAACTTTGACGACTGTCCAATATATGCCTGCACCCATCGAGGCAATTTCGTCCGGAACTTAGAATTTCCTATGCTTCTTCTTACCTGAATAGTATTACCTTCACGATATCGCTGCGAAAATCCTGTTTATTATACGAATGACCATCGTGTAGCCCATAAGAAAACTTGTAAGGCCCCCTCTACCACGCCTTTGAATATTTCTGTAACGAAGGTCAACCTTACGTCCATTGAAGCATTTGGTCTGTTAACATGTGGTGAGTATTTACTGTGTCCTATAAAATGTGCTTTCGATGTGGCAGTTTAGGATTAGCAGTCATAGTGGACGGCACAGAAGTTATCACGTCGCCCGACGTGAAAAGGACACTCAAAACCATATCACGGCGGCTGGGGTGTCGGCGTCCTTCCTGCACATAAACCAACGTCCATCGTTTGCCTCTGCCTGTTCGTCAGTCATACGGGTACCGTCTTGGGACTTGTCTCGAGGGAGGCCCTACGCCTACAGGGCTTTCAGTGTTCGTTATGTGCAGCAGTTTGAAAGTAGTTCAGGCCTCGGCTAGGATGCCTCTGAGGTCATTAAAGGACCAACTGTCAAGTTATTACGGGATTTTGAGACCCGATACTCCCATGGGAACTATTAATCAACATGCCCACCTAGTGCGCACTGCGGAGGCCTACAGGAACTCCCTTCATATGGCTGATTCTACGAATGTAGCACTCTTTCTATTCTCTTCACGGACTTCTCATTATTATTCCTGTAGCGGAAATTTATAGCCATGCTTTCCCCTCATGCGCGACCTAAGAATATCTCTAATAGCCTCCCTAATTGCCAATCCCTCTAGTTCTTTCGTCGAGCGACACATTTTTCAGCTGCTCGGAGAGCCTATAGTTTCTTCCACACAATTTTGAGTAGTTTACTTCCGTCGCATAGCGGTAAATGGTGATTCGATGTTGCCCCTGCTCTACGATCAGGATGAATCGATGCATACTACCCAGATGCGATTATGCTCAAGTACCTTACAGCGCGTCATCAAAATCTCTGAGCTTTGAATTAAGGTTGCCGCCAATTGGGCTTACACGACTCAAGGAAATAACGATTACAAACCTTATTTTACTGATGCTGGTGGAATTACACAGTTGCATTTCGCTGGTTCGCTAGCTTGCATAAACGCAGTCTACCAATTTGCATTCTGCACAGCTATTCGATGCTAACTTTTGCTATTTTCAGGGGCACTGCCTCCTTTCAAGGCGGGAACCTCCCTACATTAAGGGCTTTATCTTCTGATCTCGTGTTTTTTTTTCTCGTTTTAAGGAAATGTTCGTTTGTTTTATTGGTTCTTTAGAAGAGTTTGTGGCACACTCCCCTGGTGTTGTGACCTGCCTCGCAATGGGCCACAAGTCCGCTCGAGTGATGGCCACTGGTGGGGAAGACCGTAAAGTGAAACTGTGGGCAGTTGGCAACCCCAGCTGCATTATGAGTCTTGGTGGTCACACTTCTTCGGTTGATTCTGCCCAATTCAGTCAAAATGAGGACTGCATCGCTGCCGGTTCTCTGTCAGGCTCTATTCGCGTTTGGGACCTGGAACAGGAGAAAAGTTTGTTTTTGCTTTCCCAGAAACTTATCTGTCCATCAAATCCTTTTGCTGCAGTCGTGACTAAAGCTAGTTATAGTCCGTGAAACACCTACCCCTTTCGGTTTTTTCTTCATTGGGCGCATTATCAGTTTTATGTAATTTGCGAAATTAGGAAGACCGCTGTCAGTCAGTCTACAGCCAGTTATCAACGCACCGCGTTCTTGGAATTTTTGCCTTCCAGTGATGCGAGTCTTATCCGGACACACATCTTCGGTCCAGAGTTTGGATTTCCATCCTCATGGCAACTTCATTGCTTCCGGGTCTCTGGATTCCACCGTCAGGGTGCGTTTCCCAAATAAGTGCATAACCCCCTCTTGCCTTGACCCTTGGACGCACGAAAATCGTCTTCAATGTTTTATGTCATTGCACAGCTTACGAAATATTCAGAAACGTCCCTGTCCTTGCACTGCTTTCATGCCGGCCAGGGAACTAGATGACTGACTATCTACAGGTGCCCCCTTAGCCACATTCCCTTAAAAAATTTTTTTTGATTATGCATTTTCGCACCTTTTGGCTTATCTGTTTGTCATATGGAAGTAACAGACTGCGTTTAATTAGTAAGACCTGCAGCTACGAACTCACGCGTGTTTGTTGGTCGTCTAGTGGGGGAGGTCGTATGTCGATGTAGTTCTTCATAGTACCGTTGTTAGTGGCATTAACGTTATCAGCGGAGATCATACCCCAACGACGTGACCTACTGTTGTTGTTCACATGGTTTTCTGCGGACCCGGCTTCACAGTTTTCCGACGGTCTGGGTCCACACCTATCATAATTCTTCAAGCTGAACTGGACCTGGCGGGATCAGAAGGTTGCATTACTTCCTTGAATTCTGCCAATACAGCCAGCGACTGACTGACGCCTGCGTCGTTGGCTTCCTAACAGCGGAGTGGGGGGAGTTCTCCTTCATCAGCAATCGGTTGTAGCGGTACTAGACAGGATTGGAGTTTACTGTGCGTCAAAATGTTGCCCCCTTTGCGGTGGTTATGCAGTTGTCTGGCAGTGGCGAAAAGGGATCAGAACCTGTGGCACCAATGAAGTCTGGTGGGCGGAATCTACCAATCCCCGGTAGTGTTTTGTGGTTTGGGGGATGAGGTGACCATGTTAACATCCCAGAGGACACAAAGTTATCCAAGAAGGTCAATCCGGTTCTGGACGCGAGTTGACGGTGAGACGTGTTGGATGAGGTTGAATGCTTGGGGCGCTCGTCCTAGATGCTCCAACCTTGCGTGACTCTTGCTCTGTTTTGGCCTCCTGTGCTCGATTGGCTTCAAGGGTTACTTCATCCGTTTTCCTGACAGATCGCCCCGTCAATCTGCTATATGCAAGGTTTTTCTAAATCAGTTGGCTGATTTCGGGGTATTTTTTGGATTTTCAATGTACTCTTGCATCGTCTCTCTTCATGACTTCGCCTACGAGTACCCGTAGCGACGTCACCACAGAAGAATCTCTTTGGTAAGCACTCATCCAACGGTATCACGAAGTGACCGTTTGATCAAATTTTGGTCGGTTTCAGTATGGAATGGACTTCATAAAATGTGCATAACTTCCCGAAACATCTCTTATCTGTCGAAGACCGTCCTGAAATATGCGATTACTAATGAACAATTTTCATTTAAATGAAAATTTAAAGTAAGTATTGAAACTAATATTACGTCAGTAAGAAATAACCACACTTTAAGAAAAGCAGAAATGCTGAGATCGCAAAAATTCGTGTCAAATGAATAAGTTTAATTTGTCCAAGCATATGCATGCTAACAACTGACTAAATAAGACAGCATAAGCACAACGGACTCGGACTAATTATCCTCTAAAAAGTAATTTAATGTACGATGGGGCAAGTCGTCAACTACTCGACGTTCGACGATACCCCCCGAATGGTGTTGCTAGAATTGTATGTATTTTTCAGTTTTTGCATTGTGCGAGATGCGGTGAAGATAATGTTGTAGAATTTCATGGACAGACAAGTCACCTGAATAAAATGTTTTATTAGGTCAGACGTCAAGAGGCCAATTAGTGACTAAAACTGCAGGGCATAATTAGCAGATGCAATCGTGCATATACCACCTTCAGCGCACCAAGCGAATTTCTCTTCCTCAAAGTTACTTCGCGCTTTATAATAATGAAGTTCGTTGGGTCTCAAGGCATCCTTGAAGTGTCGGTGAATACTTGGTGGTTTTCAGTGTTCTCGGTCGATTGCCCAAAAGACAGGCTCTGTAGTTTGTGCTTTTTATTACTCTCAAAAGCCATTTCCTCTGGTGAGTTCGCAGGCGTTTCTGTAAATGCCGATTTGAGTCGTGTCTGCAGGTACGTGACAATCGCTGAATAAAGTAGACGTTTACAACGACTGCCTGCGATAAATGTAGTGTTGATCGAGGGGAAAACTGCCGGTAAAATATGTTATCATTAAAAGGTGCTTGGTTGTGCTATTTCGCAGATGAATGCCCACGTCCTTCATCCTTTCCCAAAGCAAAGTTAGAAATTTGAGAAAAATTCCTGTGACCGCTATTGACAACGTTTTTTCCGCACATGAAAAACTTTTTCTGTTTGGGGCGTTTCCATTACTTTCTACTTAGCTCTGAGCCCCACTATATAACTGTGAGTCTGCTGCAGATTAACCGCATGAATATTCAAATATTCAGTATGCAACCAGCACCGAACCCCTGTCTCTTCTACTTTATGACTTATTTATAGCTGGATCGCGCAAAAACACGTCACAGTATGCCGCAGATTTGTAGTAGCCTCCTTTGAAGACGTTTTTGCAGGTGGTAGGACAAAATTATGCTTGTTGACGTTATTAATGTCCTGCGTTGCGAAATTGCACGTATTTACAATCGGACTTTTGGATGAAAAGGCTTCTTTTCGTGGACATAGCCGTCAGTCACATCTTAGCTGGCCTGACTTACACGAAGGAAAAATCCACGTTTAAATTTGGTGAAAGCCAATACGGATAGCCTTGCATCCAGGCAGATTTGACGCACAGTAAATATTATCTGTAGGAAATTGCCTTGATAAATTAGAAAACATATTCCTGCCTCAAATGTATCTATTTGGGTTTGTAAGACTATATAGAAACATGTTACTTGGGAAGGGGACTTTTCCAGATGGGTAGCCTAGTTTTAAGGCAATTACGGAAGATGCGTGCAAAGATTTCGCCGACAACATTAAGAGTGAAAATTCCACGCTGATTGTAGTAGATTTGTCAGTTGTCTTTTATACTTGGAGGTGGGCCGCGATGGTGTTCTTAAAGTTCGACGGCATTTGTCCTTTCCACCACATCTACTGGAACGCCGGGATCAGGGCGGGCGTATCATTGGAGATTCTTGAGCTGGGGGTTAGCTGCACGGAGTGTGGACAATCAAAGTCCGCATTAGTTTCCACTGAAGAGAGTCCTTTAAAGGTCACCTCTTGGACCACAGGTGGGCGGTTGAAGATGAGTCCAAGATGTCCGCTCCGACACTCAGGACTCTTGATTTCTCCGACAATAGGGTTGCTTTGCCTGAACTGAGCAAGAGCGCGGTTCCGGCGGGTTGTGGGCTGTATGCTGCCTTAATGACAACCAAAGAGTTCATCCTTTCAACTTGTTCAGCCTATCCGTAAGTTTTTTTCGTAGTCATCTAGTCGATCTTCATCCCCCTGCAACCCCTATCAAACTTGTTTTTGACACCCGTAGAACGCAGCTTTGTTTGCGACTGTTATTTTGTTCGTGTGTGATCTATGAATTTGAGTCTTATCGGGAGGATGAGGTTCGGTTTATTTTCCATTGCCGTCGAGTTAGTTCTGACGTTTGCGGTGTGCCTTTCGAAGGACTTACACGGCACTTGTGTGGATGGCACCCTGCGCTTTCCCATTTACTCTCAATTTTCTCAACTGCCATGACTTGCGTCTGCTCCGGAATGATGTTCTTTTAGTTGCGTGAGGTCTAGTCTGCATCCAGATTGGAGTTTCATTCCCTTGACAGCGTCTCTGTGGTTGAACTGACAGCCCCACATCCAGCAACCAGCATCGCATCCTTCCGATCACGCCTCCTGACGTGCATGTAGTCCGTCAGTTGTCAGGGCCTCTAACAAGGATAATGAGGGGGGCGTGTTCTAGGCAGTCCGTTGTTGCTGAGGCCCTACCCCGCTTATGTGGCACGATTTGTGCCCATTCGTGCACTGAAACCATCTCGAACAATCTGTTTGCCTGCCACCGATGCAGACAAAGTGTGCAGATCCTCTTCCAATTTGTTCTTCAAATCGTTGGGACCCGCTATTAGGGAGGGAAGACGCATACATCGATGATCATGACGAATTTTACCCTCCAAGCGGAAGCGTTATTATGGGACAGTCGGGTGTCTTATGTAGGAGGGAAAACTGATAGCGAAGGCACCACCAGTGTGTCGTCTTCGCTTTAGGTTACTTGGCCAGTTGTCCAAAATATGTCGCACGGACTCTCGACTTTCTTGACAGACAAAAGTAAGTAAGGTCGCATACGAGCAACCCCTTATGCATACTGCTTAACGTCCCAATTTTCATAAACCAGTTCACTCCCTCAATACCATCCTGCATATCTTCCATTTGCGCTCTCGTTTCTCTTGCCCGTGCCTGTCTTTATCAATGTATGTAGATATTTCTCTTTAAATAGTATTTTGCGCATTTTTCAACCCAGCTCTGGGACGTCTCAAGAAAGGGTTGCATCAACACCTTCCGTGGACATACCGCCTGTGTTAATATGGTACGATTCTCGCCCGACGGGAACTGGGTTATCTCCGCTGGCGACGATTGTTGTGTTAAGGTAATTCGTGATTTCCCCACACGAACCCTCTTCACTCAATTTCGTTCCATTTTTACCTGCATGCCTTCTGCGCGCGGGACCACGTTTGTTATATGCGTCTTGCAAACTTTTCTGGCTCTCTTTTGTCTACACCACCGCTCTTACCGAAATTGATCTCTTCTGGACCCCGTGTGAATGCCATTACCCATGGTTACGCGTACTTTTCACTAAGACATCGAAAGTAGTCGGTCTCACATTCCGCGAGAGTAATTCGACCTTTCGGCGCTTTGTCAACAACCCAGCAGCACGCTTCCTGTTTAATCCCAAGTTTGTTGCACATAACATATGTCGTAGCTGCACGATCGGGCTGCGTTTTATTTCTTTTTTCTCTAAATGATCGCGCGCACTTTACCCAGAAACACTTACTTCCGATTGAATCGATAATCAGTCATGGTTAGCTGCGCGCTCCTCAGTGTGACGATCCTGACAGTCCGAGAACTCGGATATATCTTAACAGATGTCCCACAAGACTTGACACCGTCAGGGCCTGCTGACCCTTGTTGCCCAGTCACAATAACTGACTCGATGTAGTCCACTCCACGGAATCATAAACCCCTGTGCTGTGCGCTCTTTTGTCAGGAGCTAGCCAGTCGGCAGTTATCATCATCTTTTCCTTCCATAGTCGACAACCGAAGTATGTGGAGTCTAGCGTCTTCGCCAGGTCTAAGTTGACTATGCCCATCCACTTTTCCAGTGTGTTGTTTCGATGTCTATTTGCCCAAACTGTGAAGAAGATTTCAAGTGTTTAGACAGTGACGTCAAGTAAACGGAAGTGAACCCTGCCGTTAAGTTGATTGGAAGTATTTTGATCACTCAGATGGAACAGTCGTGATCACACCCATCGATGAGGAGAATTCATGTCAAACATGACGTAGTCAAGAGTGACGGCAATCTTGTGCTCTCTCCAACTCTTGCTCATACCATTCCCACTCAACGTCGAGAGTCCTCCTAAATCTCAGTTGAACCCCTTGTAGTACCATATTACTCAGACTCAGGATTCTTCGGGAACTAAACTAGCGATACACACGCACACACACTGGTGCCGTTGCATATTCTGGCAGTAGTGGTAGCGGCGGTAGTAATTCCACTGATTTCCTTGATGTTTGAATTGTTTTGCCTGAGACGTGCCATAGTGTACTTTCTTATTATAAGCCGAAACAAAAGATATCCGACGTACGATTTAGGCCCTAAGCGGGATGACTGTCTTGTTCAGTTTCCTGGATCTATTCGTGCCTCCGTATTCTGTTTGTTTGTTTTATTTACCCTTAAAAATGTACTCTACCCATTTTAAAAAGTTTGTTTTAAGGTCTCGCTCCCAAACTGTTGTCTTTTGATCCCAGGTGTGGGACTTGGCCGAAGGTAAGATGCTGGCCGAACTGACTGGGCACACAGCTCCGGTAACGTGCATAGCCTATCATCCCACCGTACTCCTCCTGGCTACGGCGTCGGCCGACCGGACAGTTCGAATTTTCGATCTCGAGAACTTTACGCAGGTTTCGGTTAGCGGTGTTGAGTTGGCTGCTTCTGCTGTTCGACGCCTGGCTTTCCATCCGGAGGGTGTCTGTCTCTACGTCGCAACAACCGAACACCTGAAGGTACGCACCTGCACGCTGTTTCGACATTCCACACGTCCTACCCTTCTCTGAACCTTTTCTTTTTTTTCACCGTTACCTGCCGTATGTTGATACATTTCGTTATCTGTGGGTACATCTTCATGTTTTCTGACACATACAGAAGAAGGACAATTGATCTTAGAGCTGTTTCGTTAGCTTGACGCCCTGAACATAGGGCAGGGTCTATTATGGAAACAGTGTACCTGCGCCGCACCGAACTTTATTATCATCTGATGTCCCAGTTAAGCTCCTTGTCACTCTTGCTAATCTCCTGGTTCCCATGGAGACCGAGCGCATGACTGCACTCTTCCTATCGACACCATTTGCGTTGACCATCTTGCCCTATATGCCACACCGTGATGATGCAATAACGTCTGCGATGGGAGGTATGTGACCGTTCTTCTGCAAATAAAGTGCTTTCGCATGAAAAGTCCGCGATTCCCAGTTTAGCAGCTAAATTTTAGACTAATAGTAGTAATGGCTGACTTGCCATACTTCCATCACGTGTATTAACTAAAAGCCCAGACACGTATTTCACCGATGTTGCGTCACTGCACGGTACAGCTATGAGCGGTTCGTTCTTCAGTTGGTCCCCAGCGTTCTCCTTGTGTTTTCTAGCATATACTTCAATTTATGATGCAAGCGTTCAGATTTTTTTATAAATTAATAACATGCAAGCTTTGAATAAATGCCTCAGTACTAATTCTCAGGTTTGAACTGAAGTTCATCAGTTTTAGCCGAATAACCGCTTGATATTCGCAGTAATCTACCAATACTGACTTATTTACCATACGGCATGTGGAGCAGTTAAAAGCGCAAACACGTATTTGTACCACTCAATGACGCAGCCGGCAGTCAGGGGTTCGGCTAATCGTCCGTGATGACACCTATCCTGACTGACATAGTTGGCCGAAACCCTGCACACTGTCCACCTGCGATTATTTGGTCCTCCTTGTGGGCAGTCTTTTCTGCTCGATGATTTTCGCAAACAATTTAGGTGATTTAATCAGTTCCAGTGCTTTCTGTTTATATCTGTTCTAAATGCCTTTGGGGGAAACTTGAAGCACTTATCCTGTCTGATGATTTGCATTATGAGGAACGAAGATTCAATTAATTTCGATCGCAGTCGCTGCCTTTCTTTTTGCGACGGTACCAACACCGCGAAGAAACCTAGACTCCCGCCTTTGTTACCGGGAAACAAAATGGAGCCACGACGTAAAACGAAAGGAAAAGAGGATATTGCATGGCGTAGTAGGGCCAGCCGGGTACGAAATGCACACGCGTAATCTGCTAACCGAGCAAGCCCGGTGCCTTTGTTCACGCTCGCAGCCCAGTCAATGGTCAACCGAAAATTAAGGATTTTTCCGCGAGGGGCTTATCGCGCAGGAAGCAGCCAAACCACTACCAGTCCACTGTGTTTTAAGACCGTTAGCCGTCGAAGAAATAAAGTTTTGGCCCGCCCAACAGAATAACTGAGGTTGTCCCCGAAACTCGCCCTCTCTCTCTCTCTCTCATCCAACCGCCGGGACATAACAAATGGAGCACCCTAGCGCAATTTTAGTTGTGCGCTTCGACGATGAGTTTTGTTCTTGTTTTGACGTCCACGTAGTCGCTGAGTCGTGAAGCAAGAACCGCGTTCATCACCTTTTTAAAGATGGCCGGCTAGACGACACAGTAGGCGGACTAACTCATGAAATGTCAACAGAAATTCCGAAATGCGTTTTCGTTTCGAAAATATTAATTAAGTAGGGCTGTAAAACTAATCAGCCTGAAGTATAATTCTATAATAATCCAGTTACCTCAGGATGCCGGCTTTTGAATGAAATCCTTTCCGGTGGCATACAAAAACTATACTCCGTAAAAAATGACTACTTAGCAGCATGCATTTGTCTCATTGATTTTCGATGCCCTTAAAAATTCAATTATATTTCATAGAAAGCATGCAAAGCAACATTCATTCTTTTGTTCACTCGGTAGAAAATGACGCCTTCTTCCAATTTTATGCTCGAAGGAAGTGTATAATTCGGTTTTAAAAAAGTTTCTAATTGTGAGATTTTTTAATACCGTGAAATGGCCCTTCATAAAACGTCATGTCTCTACATTTACCAATGTGGCTTGTAAAGTTAGCAATGTGGCTCAAATCCATTGCCTAATTTTATGAACCCTTATATGGTCTCTTCTTAATACCGTAGAGAAATGTATGTTTTTCCGTACGCGGAAATTATACGGCTTGTAGTTTGGGAACCCTGAATGCAAGTGTAACGGCAGGCCGGGTTCAAAATTATTCGGGAGTTGGAAAAGTTTTTGAAAACCGAATTATACCCTTCCTTCGAGTATAAAATTGAAAGAAGACGTAATTTTCTACTGAATGAGCAAAATAATGAATATTTTTATGCATGTTTTCCATGAAATATAATTGAATCTTTAAGGACATCGAAAATCGATGAAAAATGCATGCTACTTAAGTAGTCAATTTTCACGGAGTATGGTTTTTAGATGCAGTCGGAAAGAAGTTTGTTCGAAAGCCGGCGTCCTGAGGTAACTGAATTATTATGGAATTATGCTGCACGATGATTGGTTTTACAACCCTACTTTATCAGTCTTCTCGAAACGAAAACGCATTTCGGAATTTCTGCTGACATTTCATGAGTTAGCCCACTTACGTTATCCTTGCCCGGCGCCAGCCTTGGCAACCCCACACCTTACCGTGTGTTCGAGCGAATCTGGAAAACCAGTTTCTTATAAAGAGATCGCGAGAAATTATCACAATGCGGAAAATGCTGCCCGCCACCAAGCGAGGCACAATCCCTGGAACTCTTTAACTGATATGTCGGAAAGATGGACGCAGATCCCCACTTTGGAATCGGGAGCAATCCCTTTAGCGTGCCGCTCCTCACAGCTAATTTTTTTGTTGGTCAGTGCTCAACTGAGTTTTAAGATTACGCACATTTTAGTTAGACCTGCCTGAGGGTCAACCACTCGGTGCAGCACCATTCCCCACCCAACACAAGTAATCTTTAGTCGAGCTAAGAATGCGTCATACCTATGTTAAGGGTTTGCAAGCACAATCTTCTAAGGCCTAGAGATCGCTTCGACCGAGTCGAGTGTTGAAGAAAGAGTGGTGGAAGCAATCTTCTACCGAAATTAGTGTTGTTTCTCTGGGGCTCGCAACAGGTAAAGACTTGACCGACACAGTCTCAGTCAGCACAAAAACCACTCGTTTCGCTGTTGGCGTACCCACTTGGAGGCGCAAGAGGATACTCGTAAAGATTTCACCTATTTCCACCGGACCTATTCCTATGCAAATGTAGCCGCTATTTCTAAGGGGAATTAGTAGTACAGTGTAACTCCAGTCCTTAGATTGACAATCCATTTGGTTAAGGGGGATTGCTCCTCGTGCACCCGTGGTCGAAGGAAGTGTGGCGTCACGGCAGGGCTAACCACTGTATAACTTACGGCATCAAACTGTGATGGCTTGAGACTATCAACGAAGTACTCTTGTTACTTTAGCCAGCACCCTCGCCCTCCGGTACAATGTTCAGAAGATCGATTTTTACGCCGGTCATCCGACTGACTACCTCTTCAGTCCAAAGTTAAAGGCAACGTCTTCCTGAGTCACTGTTGACGCTGGCTCGTTCACACCTTTAAAGTCATACCCATCCAGTCTTTGCTCTGGTGGATTCGAGGAGTGCGTCGTGTGACGACTCAATGCACCTAGCTTTATGCTTCTGGCATTTCGGACGCTTCACACCTAGTTGGCTTGTCAAATGGGTCCTCTGTGTCTTCGCCTGCTACGAGCCCTCGGTTCATACCATCATACATCGAATCGAACGACATGCGAGGACCACACTCATCTGAATTTGGCCAATCTATACAGAGATCCTCCACCATTGTATATTCCCGATTGCAACCGACAAGACAACGAACCCCTGGTTCAGTGGTTAGGGGCGTTGGACTTCTAACCAACAGGTCGCAGGATCGAGCCCCAGGTGTTCCACACTTCAGGTTTAAGTATGACTGGCTGATGACGACTAATAAGCTAGAAACGGCCATTCCGGTCACCCCTGTCGTGGTGGGGTTCTATTACGCTGACCGGGTTTGCCGATATGCTAATACCTACGTTCTATGACTGATTTCGGTAGGCGGTTAACGCTTTGTTTTGTCTCCGTCTAATTTCGTGGGTTTTGGGTAATGGTTTAGGTTTAGGGTCAAGATTTAGGGTTAGCGGTTTAGCGTTAAGGTTTAGGGTTAAAATTTACGGTCACGATTTAGGGTTAGGGTTATGGTTGAGATTTAGGGTTAGGGTCAGGGTTTCTTGGGCTTAGGGTTAAGGTTTGGGGTTAGGGTTAGGTTTTGGGTTGCTCTTGGCATCTAAGTTTATATTTAGGTTTAGAATTAGGGCTAGGATGGAAGTTAGAATTTGGCTTCGACTTGCTGTTTCGTTTACGGTTAGGGTTAGTGCTAGTGTTGCAGTTCGGGACCGCGGTTAGGATTACGTTTAGTGTCGGCAGTTAAGGTTACGGTTGGGCTTGGTGTTACAGAAGACGGTTGTGGTTTGGCTTAGGTTTGAGATTATGATTAAAGTTGTGAAGAATTGGGGTTAGGGTTACAGTTAGTGTTAGGCTTGGGGTTAGGGTTTGCCTCAGCATTAACGGTTAAACTTATGATAAGGGTTATGGTTAGGTACAGGTTTCTGTTTGCCGTTCACCTTCCGACTGATTTGAGGGTTTGACGCAATTTTACGTTTGCCTTACTTTTACCGTTTTGGTTACCCTTTGTGAGTGATGCTTGTGGTGGTTGAAGTTCACCTCAGATGCTCCGCTTGTGGTGGCATACCCCTACTCATTTCCTTCCTACATCTGCCTTACGTTCGTTCACTTGCGCCTACCGCTATCCCGCCAACGACGCTTAGTGATTTTTCTTGCTTCCCTTTTACCTGTCTCTGTCCGAATGCTGAAATTCATTGTCTTGCACAAACTCATTTACATTACGTACCCCATGGCCTCTACATCTTCCGCTTACTCCCTTCCTCAGGTAACCTTCGCTCCGTCCATTGTTTCAGCCTTTTCCTTTTCATCCTACGTTTGCATTTGATACTGCAGACGCTGTTTCTCAGTCCACACATGCCACCTTCGTACCCGCACTGCACTGCCCTTTGCTCTTGCATTCGATTCCCTACCGTTTCACAGGTTACTATCTCCACTCCCGTCATCTTTGCCTCCCCCCTTGTTTACATCACCATTTTGGTCTCCCCATCTTGTATGCCCCTCCAGCTTCCTTTTCTCCATTTTTCTTTGAGGTAACTTGGCATAACAAACGATTGGGCATTAGAGAATTGTTTACCTTTATCATAGACTTCCATCTGGTTGCGGTTTCAATGATTCTGAGCGTCCAATTACGTTCTGCTTAGGCGCACCTTGGTTTTTTTAGGTTATTTTGGTATTTTTAAACTACGCGGCCGTTACATTGTGACTTTGGAATGTTCTTCTGCAAAACAGCATTACTGGCCAACTTTTCCACCCGATCCAATTGCCTCACCCGTAAAATCCCTATTTCCACGGTCCGCGTATTACACACAACCTCCCCTTCCTACCTGGGATCAGGGCAGCGTTTTCTACCCTTCCCCTTGTCTTTGTCGGTAATGTTATTCTGCCTATATTACACGCCACTGTGCGGCTGTTGGTTGAGCTTGAGAGAGCCCTAAGGCACAACGGGACGAGTGAGTTCCGTAACCCTATTGGAGAGTGCCGCTCTACCAGAGATCCTCTCCGCATATCAGTTCAAAAAGTGAATCTTCGAGTGTTACAACCTAGTGCTGGTAGTAGTCCCACTGTCCTAAGTAACACAAAAAGTCAGTTATCCTAACCCCGATTGCTTGTAGAACGCTTACAGCGGCCACAACGGGTCTCGGGGTTGCCGATTGGCCAAGAACTCAGTTTATATTTCGAAGTCAGCGATCCACTTACACGTCCGTTCTCTATACCCTCCGTCGTAAATCCGCAATCGTACTTATCCCCCGATATGCCGCACACGTTCTAAATTTCCTTTACAGGTTTTTTAGCCGATTTCGACGATGACCATAGTGCAGCTACCTAATATCATGCCTTTCCCTGTATCCGTGACAGATCTACAACTATGAGACTATGTCCTGTCTGGACACTGTCGCGGTTGGTTGGCGCAGTGGCGGTGGTCTGGTCGACATGGCTGTTGCACATAGCTACAACCAGCTGGTTGGCGCCAGCATCTCTCAGTCCCTGGTCTCCACTTTCGTGGTTGACGTGAAATCTTGTGTGCCCTTCGTCTCGCCCCTGCACTCTGCATTCTCCTCATCTTTATCCTCCTCCCCGCCGGGCATTTGCGACTTCACTCCACCATCAGCTGCGGCCGAGGTTGGTTTCTCTCTGCATTTTATCTTATCGCCATGATATTCCTTCTACGTGATAACGCGTAGGCACACAGACATTCAGAGTCCCCTGGAAGGGGTTGGTAACTCTGATCGATTTACAGTCGCACCGACTGCCTATCCGCATAAAAGAGTCGTTAAATCCTGACCCTCACCAGGCACGTAACTCATTCGTGGCTCCACGGATAAATTCTGAGTGCGGCAGCCACCCATCTCGGTGACAGCTCTGACAAACGGCTAAAGAAGGATGGGGGGAGTAGCCGATATGTCCCCGCCATCGAAAAATTTGTGTGAAACTCGATTTGATTAGGGCAGAGGAAACAGCCATGTTACGGCTGCCGTGGACGAAACAGCTACCAATTTCCTGTCCATTTCCAGTCACCAGTGGGTGCGAAAAAGGAGGTCGCGGTCGATGCTGTGTCGACTCAAATTACGCGAGAGCTACGGCTAGTAGTAGTGACGGTGGTTGTGTTAGATGGACGACCTGCAATGCAAATCGAAGTGTAAGTTGTGCGCACCACTTGCAGAGTAGAAAACAGACGTCTCATTTGACCTCCGAGCTCTATTTTCGGCAATTCGCAGGCGGTAGCAAAGCCTCGATAATATTTCACGGATCGAAGTTACTTCTGCCAGGGGCGAATAACGGTTCTTGCTCAAACGGAAGTATTGTAGCGTGCAGAAAACGGATGACGCAGCCTAATTTATCCCTAGATGAAGTAGTGTCTACTTATTTAAGTGTTTTTGTTGTTTTTCACACTGTCTCAATTTAAACCTCATAGCTTTGCAGACAAATCCAGACTTCATTAAATAATGAGCCGTCTCTTGTGACCTGACTACTCACTAACTACTAGTCTAGAAAAAATTTTTAAAAAATAAATCTCAACAATTGTTTGTAGATGCTATCTGAGGTTATTTTTATCTACGGATTCAGGCAATCTTTTAGAGCGCCTTTGGGCGTCCAAAGTAGTCTACATGTACACTCTTACTCTTGGTAGGGGCGGGATTATCTGTCCTTGCCGGTTTTGTGCGTTTCCCCGCCTAGCGTAAATCCTTATGTTCTCACATGCAACCCCCGCATCTGCTCCACATATAGGTCTATGGTAAAGTAAGATTACAGCCTGCTGCCATGAAAGTTTATTGGAAATCATCCAGGTTCCGATGTTCGCACCGTATCCTCATTCTCCTTCTCGACTGTAGATGGACCCCAGAACGCGTCCTCTTGTTCGCTCAGGAAGCGATCTCGATCGCACGCGACCCTCCTCTACTACCTTCGTCTCCCGCGGCTCCCGAAAGACGTTTTGTCTTCAGGGCAATGGAAGGAAACCTCACGTCGAGTCGGTATGTTTTACTCCTTCTGACCCATTACTTCGACGCACAATGTCTTTCCGTTTGGTGTCGAATTGCGACATTCACCTCCTCCCCTTCCAATTGACCCAACTATCCTTTCTTACGGCGGAGTCAAAGCGAAATTAACCTTCCTTCGTGTTGCCGTCGTCGACACGGCGTCGACCTTTCGAATGGTCTTTACTGCTTTGCGCTGCATGTATACAAATTGACACCAACGGTTTGCTGGGTCTTGACGGCTTAGCTTTCCGCCAGACCATAAGAGGTGGGCCAACAGGGCGATGTGTTTCATGAGGGAAAAATAAATTTGGTTATTGTTCAAGTCCGTACTGCCAAATTTTATGCCTGGATTTCTAATTTTTACAGTTTAGAATTCTACTCTGGTACGCTCATTTTCCACTGTGAACGTTGTGATTTCGTCACAATTTACTTTCCAACTTGGAGTTAGGCCGTCGAAACTGCATATGCTAGCTCCAGCTCCAAGGTTTATGTGAACACTCGAAGTCAGAGCGACCAACCTTAGCTGAGTAACCGCATATTCACACTTTATAAATTAGTGGTGGTATGCGTTCTGAACAGAAAATTGTCTCTCTGTACTAATGAGAACAACGGACACGAGTTCTGCCTCTGAGTTCCTTATTGCCTGTGCTTTGTTCGCTATTCTACTTGGTAGCATCACGGACTGTTTCGGATGCTATCACGTTGATGGCTGACTTTGGGCCTTGGGACCTGCTTTTCGACGACGGATAGATGCAGCTAATCGAGGCCTTAAAGGGCAGGAGCCATAAGAAAAGTCCTCAAATTGCTAGTACTCAAACGGAGAATCTCGGCGCAAGATCAATGATGAGGCATGAAGGTTGCGACCGCAATTGTTTGGTGCCTGGTTGTTTCCTTGATCACCCTATTAGGGGCTCAGGCAGCCGGATGATGCGCGCACTCTCGGATAGGCATCCATAGTAAAAATCAATCTAGCAGAAAATATGCAGCTCGGGCAACCGCTTTTACAGCCACCACGCTGAGAAAGAGATCTGTCGCCGCTGTCTGCCTAGCTAGATCTTTCCTTTGATGTACCTTTTCGAACCCATACAGTCGTCTTGCTTTCTACCTATTCAAAATTAGGAGGATGGAGACCCACCCGACGTCGGTGTTTCTGGGCCTGATGCAATTCTCGAAGACCCCGTGATTGACGACCCTGCGGCCTACAACCGCATTTTCAAGCCAAAACACGTTATCGCCCGCAGTCCGTCACGCAGTGCCCTGCACTCTTCCTCGAAGACAAATGAGGCGCCGCCTGAAGACGGTGCACCCAGCTGCTCTCGCCCGATGTCTGTAAAGCCCCCTCGAAAACTCGCCTCCCAGCAGCCTCAGTCGAGCGATGATGACGCCCCCTTCTACCCACCGCCGGCAGCACCACGGGTCGAAAGTCCGCCAGCTCCAAGGCCGGCCCATTTTCAGTCTCGTGCGTACTTCATTTTCTGTTCTGTGCGGTCTTGCATGTCATCTGCACTGAACCTCCACCTCTTATCCATTTCTTTCGACATTCGCCCGATTAAATACTCCCATGACTGTCACAGGATACTTCAATGACAAGATAGACCTTCTAAGATTAGTGGGGGAGAAGAAATTGAGGCAACAGAAGGAGGATTTATTATCAAAACTTTCGAAACTCTCCCCTAGCCTAACCTCAGAGATATAGGGGAAGCAACAGGTCGGGCAGGCAAGATATGAGGACACACTAATCAGATCATTCTCATGTTCGTACCGGAAATTGGATTGAGTTTGGTAACAATTGCCGCCCACACGACAGGTCCGCGTCCTTCAACCTGGCTGCGTACTGCTTGGTAAGTTCATAACGGGACCTGCCAGGAATGTCTGTTGATCAATTTATTGCAAAACTGCCACACGGTCATAAAGTGGCTGCTTGGCAACGAGAACCATTATCTCACACAATTGCCTACGATAGTTCGACCATCGTTGCCAAATATGTCCACCGTTTGCTCCAAAGCAAGGTGAAGCAGGCACCTTGACTTGCGGGTGATTTAGTTTATAGTGGATGTAGACTTGTGCTGCATCTACCACACTCTCCTCCTCCCCCACCTGGACGCGGTATCAAGACATAGCCAAGACGACCGGATGCGGGGGAGGGCGCAGGTGGATAGCACGGTCGAGCCCGCACCTTGGCGTTCCACTCCACGCCCCGTGGTCCACACAGCAAATGACGGGGATTCTAACTAACAACAACAGAAAGAACTGACGCGACCGAGGTCGCACCTAGGCGTGCCGTCACACCTGGCTCGGACCCCACGCAGTGTGAGTGCCGTGAAGACCACATTAAGAAGAAGCCATTGCAGCCTGGCTTTTAGACCACCAGTCGGCCGCGAGGTCCCAGTCGTCCCGTCAGTTGGCAATCTTCCAAGCCACGGCTATTAGCTCATTGTGGTGGTCTCAAGCGCGTCGGATTGTTTATAGTGAGGAAAATGCGCTGAGTCGTCGACCTCACTCTCCCTTCCCATTCCCTGGCCGCAGTCACTGTCCGAGCCGGTCGCTTGACAGATGTGGGGAATGGGCGCGGTGGTTGAAATATCTAGTATCCTTGTCTGCGCGCACCCCATGCACGACCTGGCCCCAAAACACAAACACCAGGATTTCACACAACGGGGGTTGAGCGGCGTACATCCCACATGCGTGAGAGTGCCGTAGGTCACGTTAAGAAGAAACCGTTTCAGCCGAGCTCTCGGTCCACCAGTCCGCCATACCACACAAATAGTCACACGACTACGCCTACTGCGTGGCCTGAGTTGGGGCGTCAGTCCGCAGCCTTCTAGGCCACAGTGCTTGACGCAATGTGATAGTCTCGGATTCGAATCACACATGCAGCAGAGGAGCAGCATAGAGACGGAGTCAAGACGTACATTTCCCACTTTCATGAGAGGTGGCAGTTGGGTGCATGTAGCGGATGTTGTGTGATGTAGGTGGGGGAAAATGTGATGGATTTTTTGGCCGGCGGTTGTTTAGCGCAGGTTTTCGTGAATGCTCATGTAGCCTAATAGGCCCATGCGGTGGATGAATGTGTGAGTGCAGTGAGGGCAGTTGAGACAAATGCGTCTGGTGTATGTGGGCGATGGATTCGTAAGTGACCGATCAGGCCGGTGCGTGAGGTGAATGTACGGAGACAGTTTGGACGGGGAAAGTCGGCGGTTTCAACGATGGTTGCAGTGCTGAAACTGTTGATGGTGGGCGTTCTGGGCGACGGGGTGTGGTTTGAGCTAGGCATGATAGATGTGCAGGAGGTGCTAGGTGTGTCGAGACTGCGGTCACTTTCGCTCTCGTGGATACGCATGTGACCAAAAGGTATGACAACTCAAGCAATGATAGAATCATGAAAATTTGGTCATAAATGGATGCATAAAACTCCCTTTATCACTGTTCAGCTTCCCCACCCCGCCAACTACCACCCCTAATTACGTTGCCATAGTGCACTGCTTAGGCCAGTATAAAAGGAATCATCCAAAGTCTTGACATACGGTATGATCGAGAGTCTTTCACCGTGCATGAAGCGGTTGGGCATCTAAAAAATATAGACATTAAATTGGGGGTAAGTGAGAGGTTTGTTTTTCTGCTAATCTTATGTTTTATGTCCCTTGCAGATCGTCTGTGCTTCAAAATGGTCACGCCCTCTCTGCCAGTCTGCTTTTTCCTTCCTCATTTTCTCTTACCTGCGTTGTTTTCGCTAAGATTTCATGTTTGTATTTTCCTCCTAGCACCCACGAAGGAACAAGATACGGTTAAACTGGATGATTTCATTCCGGTAAGCTAATCAATCGCCGTCACCACTTTCTACCTGCATTTGGTTTTTATTAACTTTTAGTCGCCTTAGTCGTTTATCTTTTCTGTCAATTGGCATGCTTAACGCTCTTTCGTTTATCCGGACGGTGAGTCAGCGGGTGAACGCAACAAGACCTGTTGTCCTCTGTCTCCACTGTCACTATTTTTGCGGGGAACACCCCAAACCGTACCGTTTTTTCTTTAACATTTCAACTGCCTGATGGAAGCTGGTCAATAAGAATGTCTGCTTCAGTTTGTATCTCGGAAAGTCCTGGCGGTAGGTTACGGTCGAAACACTATGGTTTCCACCTGCCACTGGTCGCTCGCAGGCCATTTAGAGATCTGAATTAGGCGTATCCGGTGGTTGTTTCACCATTTAATATTACCCTGGTCATCATCACTACTGCACTTCAGTCGCTGTAGTTTTTATTTCTGTAGGACCTGCCGTCGCTTTTAGTATTTCTGCCTTATCTGAGAAAGTTCGAATGGTGACTATTCTGCAGGTCAAGGAAAGCATTTATGCAGCCTAATCAGCCTTCTGTCGGCCGTAATAGAGTAATCTTTAATTCTTCAGACTCTGCAACCCTTTTTATGTAGAAAACTGACTTTACATGTACCGACTACCTCTAATTTGTACCTATGACAGGATTCACTGTGATCAATTTAGCCAGCGCACATAAGTCAACTGCATCATGAATGATCGCGTTCCATTTCAGTCAATCGACGACGGGGCAGCTTCGGGCTAGATGACATTTCTGGTGATTCCTTTTCAGGCCGGCGTAGCTTCTGGCAGCTGTTGCAGTCAGCAGTGTGCGAGTCTTTCTTACACAATGATCTGCTGCCTTAGAAATGAGTCTAATGATTCCATTCCCCCTGTACGCCTCCATATCTGAAGTTGGGTCGTAGGACCATGTAGTCAGTCGTTTATTACGATCGAATGACACAGGTTTCTTCAGAAGACAGTCCTAAATAGACGGTCAAAGACCCTTATTTCAGATGACGGGCATCAGTAGTAGTCATATTTAGATGCTGGGGTATCTTGAAAATAGAAGGCAGCTGCGGAGGGCGTCCTCCAAGCTCTGCGACTGGGCGAAATGCTCCTCCAGCCGGAGGGCTATGTTTGATAGCGGCGTTAACTCATCGTTTTGTTTTGGCTCATCGATCAAGGGACTGACTTATTTTCGGCATCCGGTCTAGCCTTCTGGCGTCACTGCCGGCTGAAGCGTGCTTCGGGTAACTTTAACTTCCGTGCTTTCATGTCACACAGGACACGTGGTCCGATGACGCAAGCCCTTGTACCATCAGCTAGACAGACCATTCCGCCAGAGATAGAATCCCTGCGGTGACGCCCGATATAATCTAGCAGCCTCAACCCAGCCAGCTACTTCTAACGGAGGTTGCCTCGGGCTCGGCTGTTATCTGTGTTTGTTCAACAAAGTGGTTCTAGACGCTTAGCTGTAAGCTTACGGCAGTGGCAGGGCTCTTGAGGCGGTCATAGCCGGATTTTCATGAGGGCGTGGTCCGGACAATTTTTGCTGCCAGTGTTACCACCGCGCATCACGCCGGTGTCTGCAATGCTCTGGTTCGTCACTTTCGGACAAGTTTGTAATGGCCATTACTGGAGCACCTAGAGACTAGATTTCTACCAGCGTGCCAGAAACGCGTTCGTAACGAGCAGACGATTCAGTCTAGGGAATTTGCCCAATTTTTCTCTGCGTAATGACCAAAGGTTCATCTCGCGGATGCATTCACTCCCTCCACCATTTCTCGGTTTCCTTGTCAACTTTATCATGGTGTTCCAGCTACTTCAAGAATCCGTTGGCACCTTTACTAATTGTAGCTTTTTCACGACTGTCCACGAATGAATTTTTGCTATAGGCCTGTATGAAATCGACCAGGTGGATTTTATGGGACCAGTCCTCCAAAGATGCTTTTTCATAGAACCGTATTTTTCCATAAGCTTATGCTGACGGGCCTGATAAATGTGCTAGAAAGTGGCGTCTTCATAACTGGGCCCATTCTTGCCAATTTTTTTCATCTGAAAATTGTCGTGCAGTCCCTAATCGTTTCCTGTTCATGCACTGTGAACCCAAATGTACATAAAGCCTTCAACCCTGTTGATGGTTGCACAGTTGCGTTCAGTAGATAACATCAGGCGGACTTGAGTGTGCATAGTGTATCAGTTCAAGCATTCTATCCACAATTACACTCTTCCACCTCTTCGTGCTTGGCGTTCGGCCCAGCGCTAAGGGAAGGGCCGTAGGGATAATGCTGATAGTTTTCATGATAGAGAGAAGCAACCGAACTATCTACGCGCCGTTGATAAGTGATCAGTGCGACAGCGATCTGTATATTTTTGCCCTCTGCTGTCACTTGCTTTTCCAAGTAGATTGTCGTGTGTTGTTTTCACTAAGCCCAAGCATCCTTTGCCGTTTCCACTCTTATCATGTGATCTAGAACAAGGCACCGCCCCAATGCGTAGATCCGTTCGCTGGCCTTTGGAATATGATGGGCAGCGCCTCCACCGCGAAGGACAGCAAGTTGCCCCACAAAGACGAGTCGTCACCGAGGGAGCCAGTGACGAAAGCCAAGCAAGCGATAGCGGCCAGTGGTGACGCGACCGCCATCAACTCAGGCTGCAGCAATAACGAAGCTGCCATTATCCAGCAGCTGCGGGTTCCACACGCTTCTTTCATGTCAGTACTGTCAGCGCGACACAAGAGCCTCACCACCGTGCGTCTCATGTGGCCGCGAGAGAACCTGCGTACTGCCCTGGAATCAGCTATCCTCATGCAGGACCAGGCTGTCTTCGTTGACGTTTTGCGTGCTCTCATCACCAACAGGTTCCTGTCTGTCCCTTTGAATTTCATTTGCGAGGGCCGGGCAGGAAATACGGCATCTGGACGCCAATGATAGAAGCTCAGTGATAGGTTAATGTAAAATAACAGCCAGTGAATGGTCCACAATACTCAACAAATAATTCGAAGGGACGCAATTCAGACGAATGGTAACAGCAGCGTTATTTGTAGTAACAGTGGTAGTAGCAGCATCACTAATCTGGGGCTTATCCAAGATTTGTCACAATCAGTCTGCAGTCCAACTCGTCGGCTCACGAAGAGGGACGACTGCACCCCTCTGACTTGTCATTTCTACTCGGGTAGAAAGATGATTTCCTCGTTTTTTCTGTCTGCGTAAACTGGTTGAACCCTACGCAGATAAGTTTGGCCTCCATCCCGGCCGCATTTCGGAACATGTGTGAACTGTGATGTTTGTCGTTTTAACTGCACCGTGAAATTTTCGTTGGGCTGTTAATGTGGGTCCTAAGGCAAGTGCTTTAAGTGCCTCTGAGCATTCGTAGGTGAGACATGATTTCACGTATGAGGCTTTTGGGCCTAATTTAGGTTTGTTACGGAAACCGCGGTTATTTCCTTCGTCACTGCCCATCTGAATCCTACCCGTGTCATTTTATGCCACAGTGTCCTGATTGCCAGCATTGCCTCACTACTTCTACCACTTTCTGCGGTTCTAGGGGTTCGTTGCATCCAAATTGCGAACCTCAGCCAGCCTGTAAGACTTGCGTGTCTTCCAATCGCACCACCCTCATACTTCCTTCTTTCTGTCCTCTTCTAGTAAACTTTGGAACCTGGACCTTGTTGCCCTTCTCCTCCCGCAACTGACAAAACTCGTGTGGAGCAAGTACTCAGTGTGCGTTGTCACCATTCTGCTTGCCTTCTTTTATTTGACGCCCTCCAGGGCGGTTTTTACACAGATTTGTGGGCTTGCGTTGGGTGGATTTACACCGCCAGTTGCCTTCTATCTTACCTAGCCCTACTCCTTCTAGTAGTGGCTGGATATTTCGCCCATTTTTCAATTTAAATAGTCTCTCTCGCTTTTTCATTTTACTTTCGGTCATCAGATTCACCAGTGATTTTTTATCGTTCGTACACCGTTGATTATTTGCCCTTTTCGATCACGGAAGTGACTTTATGTAGATATATTTAGATGTTTCGAATGATCGTTAACTGAACCTCGGGCGTACTTAACAGGAATATAAACCTGCTATCTTCTTCCTGGTTAACTGAATTTACATGCATACCCTCTAAAGACGGACATGTCGCACTGTCTACATCTCAGTTTCTCACTAGAAGATATAGTTGTGTCTTGGGACCATCACTGTTAGTTTACTTTCTCTTTGAAGACCTACGTTCCTTCTGTTGTACACATTGGTCCACGTTCGAATTACTTTTTTCCTTATGAAACGCCCTTTGAATTTCTTCGGTTCGCTTAACTTTTTTGCACGAGCTTATACAATAGTCGGAATTCCTCGGCCCTAATTGCTTATTCTGAGAACGTAAACAGTGCGCAAAATTCCCGTTCTCATCCTTGTTTGGCTTCCTGATTTGTAGACCATATTTAACTGCTTGGAGAAAATACTCTAGTCACACGTTTGAAATTGGTACTGGTTGAAAATCTATCAGAATTACTATTTAGCCTAATGTAAAAGTACCCTTCGTGCAAACGTCGACCGAGGTACACCATTATTCCCTGTACAACAGTAAAGACGATTGAGGTGAACTCTCCCACTATTATAGATTCTTCGCTAATCTGTAGGCTTAACTGTTGTTTGAAACTTCAAACATTCGGCAAACATGTCACGATGCGCACTGTTTCGCCTTCAAATTATTTGATCTCCGCCCCTTGCATGAGAACTCAGGTACTTTGTTTGTCCACAATCAGGACTTTCAACGTGCATACACAACTACTTAGCTATACCGAGTAACATCATTAGTGACATTTTAATTACTTGGGTCATTTCGCAAGGGATAAAAAGTACACCATTCCCTAGTTAGAGATCGCGAAAATTGTGACCACGGTTTTAAAAAATTATTGGAGGAATGACTTTATTTTTAGCTAACACAAGTGCCCCGCACAAAAACCCAAATACCATCATCTGAAAGACTGGAAAAATCGCATCTTTTCTGCCTGATCATGAATTAAGACCTTCACTTTCCTTCTGGTGCTTATTTCTTATTGTCACGTTGACAACCTGGTCACTTAGGACGAATAAACAACGAGTCCAACCCACCGTATGAGAGGAAAGTCGAGCTCCAGCCTCTAAGTAGAGATGTCAATGGGAGGGGAAAATGGCAACTCAACTTAAGAGACCCGCTGGAGGATGTTAAACGCTTCTTTGTGCGCCCCTAGATCATGTAAAGGCGCTATTCCACGCGATTACACGTCTACGCATAAGAGAACGACAAAAGCTTGTACATATTCGGCCAGTGAGCAACCAAGTTTGATGTACTCGACATGCTTTGGTGGCATTAACGAAAATCATGGCCTCCTGTTCGATCGTCGCGTCCGACAATGTCCACCGTGCGCCCACACCAAAGTGGCAGCAGGCACGGTGACTTGTGCGTAAATTATTTTATTGTAAGAGTATGCTTGCGTAGCATCTGCTGCAAGGCATTGGCATAAAGACCAGAGGCGGGAGAGGGCGGAGGAGGCTGGCGCGGCCGGATCCACACGTAGACCACTAGTCCACAGCAAACACTTGACCAGGATGTTGACCGACAACAAAAATGGGTCAGAAAGAGAAGGGTGACATAATTCATTGGATAACCATGTACACGACCTATATACCTAGCGGAAACTCAAGCTCATCTGCTGGCAGGAAGCGAGATGCGAGAGAGTTGCCAGTACACACCAGGCTGCAAGGGCCATGCTTTGCTGAATCATGGCATAGCAGACGCGCACAGTCTTTAACGAAACGTTTTTTTGAAATTCTGAAATTCATTCTTTGTTGGAATGGGTCACTTAGACAAGGTTGTAGTATTGATTTTTATGCCGCACAACCCCATGATATTTTAGTCACGCCAAAATGCCGACTTCTGAAGGCGCTCTTTCCAGGCCGCCTGCAACAAACATTCCGTGAACAGCGATTGCCTAATTAGTATTCATTTTTCCATTGATCTTCGATGCCCTTATGAGTTCAAACATGTCTTGTAGAAGGCGGGCACGACATATCGTCTCTTGTGCTAATTTGGTAGTAAAATATGTCCTCTTCAAATGTTTTATTCAAAAAATGGCGGATTTCGACTTTGAAAAAGTTTTCAATTATGACATTTTTTCAGGACCGTAAAATGTTCATTAAATCCAAAAAAACCTTTTTAAAACCTAGAAGTATTCTCAGTTCGAGTACAAGCTTCGGTAAAGTCGTAATTTGCCGTCCTATGAGTACAAGAACGTTTTAGTGCTCACCTTCCTTGAAATATGTTGGAATTTGTAGGGCCACTGAAAATCGACTGAAAAGACATATTACTTCGGTTGCCATTGTTTACCGATCGTGGGTGTTGCAAGCGGCCGAGAAGAAACGCATTCAAAAGCCGGAATTCTGCCGCGACTAAAATATCTTAATTTATTATGCACGATAATTTATATTAAAACCCCGCCTATGCAATTCTTCTCGATCAGAAGCACATTTCAGAATTTCGGTTAACATTTTATGCCATACGTCGCCTATTGTATATATCAAGAACGGTGCGTACTGACAAAGACAGGTTTCACAAACCGGAGATTGAGTATGGCTGCTGATGACGACTGATAAGTCAGGAATGGCCATCCCGGCCTCACTTGTCTCCATCGGTGCTCCCTCCTATATGATTGCTCATTAATCCTCGGGTTAGTAGCATACGGCCTACAGAAACCGAACAAGCGTCGGTAAAACCGGGGGAGAGGCGGCGAAGGTTACACCAGATGTGCTGGAAGGTAAGTTGTTGGTCCAGTGAGAATGCAAATGGATAGAAGTGAACTAGATATTTTTGCGTTATGATGGACATCTAGGGTCAGTGAGACGTGCATACAGCCACTCGACCAACTTCGACTCGGACGCACACGCGTCCATAGAGTCGCAGCTTCCCATGTGCCACTTAAACATCGCCCCTAGACAAATCAACACGCCATTTGGACACCACTTCAGGTCGTCCCTCACATACCTACAAAAGCAGCTGCCACCACTGTCTCAGAGACTCTCAGGCATGACTGGACGCAGTCAACGTTAGTCCTAGCTTTGTCAGCGGCCACTGCCGCCTGAGAGGACAGCTCTGGGTTCTGTGCACAATAAACTCCTCATTTTGGTGCCTTCTGTCTTTCCCTCTAACACGGGATTTGACCTGATGATTGTAGAGCTCTGAGAACTCACCCTCACTGCTTCGACGGTACGGCTCTAGTAGTGAGTGTGCGGGTCAGCATGACGGTTCAGTGGTGTCTCCGAGGAAATCTAGCGCCTCTTTTGTGTTGGCAGTGACAAACATTTTAGTATTTCTCAGTTGAAGCAGTGGTCGCTTCCAGGTGTGTACGCCAAGGAATCATGCCGACAGACAGGCAGCTTATACAAGTTCCAAGGCGTCGAGGTGTGGCCGCCTGGGACAATTAGCGCGTGATGAGGCACGGGTGCCGTAACGCATAAAATATGCGTATATTCACAACAAAGCTCTAATCAATTGGAAACCGCCAATCAAGTACACAAAAAACTTGAAGGTGATATTACGTTGGAATCTTACAGGATGCGGAAATGCCCAAAGCGCGAAAGTTCGTGTCAGCTGAATGAACTTAATTTGTGCATAGTGCATGTCTGTGAAAACAGCTGAGTAAACGAAACAGCATAAGCATGACAACTTGTAGAAAACCCTTTTAGATATTCACCAGGCAATTTGACTCTTTTCATATCCTGCTTTTTCAATAAGTTTTGCTGTGTGTGGGTCCCCTATCTTAAGCGGCAAAAATTCAAACTCGAAGGGTTTAATTTTGTCTGTTTGCATTTAATTGCATTTCGACTATTATGTCTCCTCATCTGGGATCTCCCCACTGCTACTATGTTTTGAAGACGTTAACCTGCGTATAACTGTTAGTCTAAGTCAAACACTTTTGGGTTTTTTCGGCATATGTAAAGAGAAGCTAACATCATGCAGTCCACAAATGCACCAAGATGGCGCAAGCCTTTTTCCTCCTGACGGTCTGTTTTAGCTGTTAGTGTGTTTTTGAACTTCTGGTAATGCTTGTTTGTTGTTCCCATTATCTAATTGCGTGCATTTTCCGCCGTCGACTGCAGCTATGTCGAGACGGCCTGTCAAGCCATTCGCGTCATTCTACGAAATTTCGCCTCGCTCATTCGCCAGACCGTCAACAGTGCCCATGCACTTGGTGTGGACATCAGCCTTGAAGAGCGGTAAGGCGGCGCTCCTCGTCATTTTTTGTTTACTTGCCTCAATCCATCCTCACTTAAATAATGCGTCAACACCAGTTCTCTGTTCACCATACATTTTTAAACTGTTTTCACAGCCTGGTTTTTGTGTTGTAAGAATAGGCCGACACGACCGAACAACGATTGTTCGCCTGTTTAATCCGTGCAGACAAATCCATATTTGGATACGCGCATGGTTTTGCTTCCACCTTCTTGCATCTGTTAACGCCGACTCACAGAAGGGCGCACGTAAACTCTGAACTTTTGAATAATGCAGGATCTGGGCCTCTGACTTTTGCCCACTTCAACAGAATGATAAGCCAGCTGCCTCCTTTCTGGCTTCAAGTAGTGGTAGGATTTCGTCAACCCGTAAATAGGCAAAGCACTACATGACAAACGACTGCTCTTACGAGGTGTCGTTCAGCATGCAATTTTCCTAGCCAGACCGATCCATCCGTTCTGCACGATTTCCCCCCTTTCCCACAGAATAGTTCATCTAGATTAATGCAGTCTTGTGTGGTGGAGAGCCCGGACATGTTATGCTCTTTTTAAGGCAAACGCCGCCTGTTTGACGTCAAATCACTAGCACCCTCCGTTTGTTGCCGCCTCAATTCATACCGGTAGTGTGCTCATTGTGAATGAAAGTGTCTTTATGTAGGTCATCACTTAAGGCAAACACTAAAATAATAAAATTTGACGCAATAAGAAGCATTGCTGGTAATTTGTGCGTCCTAAACAGCTATTGCAGGGAAGAAGGTAACTCGTCATTTCCAAGGTATTTTATATATTTCCGTGTTGTTTGATTTCCTTGTCGTTTCCCCAACTACTGGCAGCCATCATGTAGCAGGACCGGTATGATCGCTGTTTCTTATCGATGTTGCAGTACTCACTGTACCATTTACAAGTACCCCGGTTGTTACTGTCCACAGACAGTCTTGGATAAGGCGAAATGGCGAGCCTGCTCCGTTGACCGTAGATCTTATGGACAGGTATCATGGCCTTCTGCCCCGTATTTTGTTTCCTTTTGGTCTTTTGTTTTGTTGAAGTAGTGTTCTGCACAATCCTCTCCTAATTCCGCCTCTCTTTGATGAAAAATAAACCAGACAAGAGAAGTGTCGGGCCTGTCTCTCTTCGTTGGAGTCCATTCG